TTTGATCTGGTCTGGGTAATGTTAGCACAAAAGGTTTGTCGTGCGTGTGACCCATTTTCATATTCACGGGAAAAAGTAATTCTTAAAACAACATGTGATTGTTTCAATTAGTTATCTTTAAGTTACGTTCATCTTTTTTTTCGGCCAACTTATATAACTAAAGAGACTGACACGTATAATTGTCAACACGATGAAGTGTAGTAGTTCTTTTTGCTGACATGGTCAAACCAATCGAGGCTTGGAAATACGTAATGGAAACCTGTGTCTTGTCCGGACTACATATTTTACGTTTATAAAGTGGTTTTGCGTTTTAATACTTACCTTCGGAGAGGAGGACCCTATATCCGCCATTAGAGAGATAAACTAAATATAAAGGAAACCACTGGCTTATACAGATGGAGATTCTGTCCCCAAACAAAGTCTGACTGTTTTATAGGATGGAAATAAATAAGCCATTAATAGTACCTGACATTTATCTTCTTCAAGGCACCAACATCGACGGATCAATTATTGAGGTGACCTGGGCCAAGCCGGCGGACAAGGGTGACCCGGTTCGACCCCAGTCATCCCGATCGAGCAAACAGCTTATGGACTGGAGTTTCAACAATGACCTAACAAATGCCGGCAACCTTTTTCTTGACCCTGCAACGGCCATGTTTGCCGGCTCCGCGCCGGGTGCCCCGTTCATTCTTCCTCCTATGGCCAACGATGCTGTATCAAATGTCGGCCAATTGTTGCTCCCGAATTCGAGGTAAGCGTTTGTGTGGATTGCATTGAAAGCTGAAGTCGTTTTTTGTCGAACTGTCGGCTCCACCAAGCAAATGAAATCTACTCCTACTCGAAAGTTGGTAATCGATATTCTGGTTGCCTAGTAGTAATTTTAGTAACTGTTATTTACTACAGTTGTCCTCTACGACCCTTTTAAATGTATCGTCTTATTTCACTAATATATAAACACCGATTGATTGAGCACTAAATTATTTTCACGTTTAAGCAGGAGATATCAATTTACCGGTGGCACCGCTGGCCTGAGCTCAATGAATTAATTTAATTTAATTGTTATTTGAACCTGAAATGCAGGGTTAAGCAGATAATAGATAAGATTGGCGCCGGATCGAGTCAGTTAGCAGTAATTCCGTCCAGTATTTTGGGAGGCTGATCAAACGCACTAACCCCAAAGGCTGGAAATTATAGTGGACTGACTACTACTTTGGGGTGAGATCGCCGGTCCGACCAAATCAAAATAAAATCTAGAGGAGGTTGCCCCAGCATCCCTAGAGACGTTATTGTAGGGACAAGTAATCAATATGCGGGAGAGATTTCAAATAGGGCGTCTGTGTTCCGTCATGAAATCAGCTGCGCATTACGCCCGAGTAACTGCTCTTTGTCCTAAAACCATAGTTACCGATTATTTGGCTCCTGACGTAGTCCAAAGTTAACAAAGTTGTTTTTTTTCTCCCGACCTGGTGTTGACGTATGGTCTGGTGGCGGCAAAAAGGTAGGCAGGCATGGTTATTCCTATGTTCATAACGCGAATGATTTTACGAGGCAAATTCTGTGCTTATTCTGCTGTTGGTTAACTAAACAGTTCAGCCTATTTTAACCAGCTATAGCTGCACACATTTTAAGGATGACTTATTGGGCTGCCTAAGTACGGGAATAGGGATGACTCGCCCACTTAACATAAATGACCTTGTGATAAATTCCAGGAGGAGTACACATCCCCATGTCTTAACCCTAACCGTGACATACAAATAAGCTCTAACTCATATCCTCATAGTCGCTATGTGACTGCCTACGCGGGTTCTAATTGTGAACTCCTAAGCGAAGCGGAACTTAATTGTTCCTCTACCTGATCGGCGAAGCCCATGTATTCATCATATTTCCGATCTAAACCGACAAAGCAACGAGCCCGTGGTGCCGAGATAGAGTAGTAAACTCAATTACCAAAGGTCCCGGGTTCGAATCTCGAGGGTTCCAACCCTTGAGATTGGGTATGGCTGGCTGATGACGGCAAACAAGCCAGAAATGGCCATACCGGTGTCCCTTTGCTTTGTCGGATCCATTTCAAAATATCCTCATAGTCACTATATGACTGCCTACGCGGACTCTAAATGTGAGCTCCTAAGCGAAACGGAACTTAATTGTTCCTCTACCAGATCGACGAAGCCCACATATTCATAAATCATACGGTTAACACGAACCCAACCCGTAGAAAGTAACATAATCCTGATCCTAAACCAATTTCACGAAAGTTGAGTTCTTGAATTGAAGTTTATCCCACCACCAAGTATAGTCAGAAACTTTCGACTTCCTGGTTTGCAGAGTCCCAATTACTCTCCTCGTCTTTTCCCGACACTGTCCCACAGGATGTGATTGTAATAATCTTGTACCGTTCTCATTAGCTTTGGATGGTTAACAAATTATAAGTGCCTACGTTAGTGTTTCTATTGTTTTTTCTTTTCGGTAACACCCCTCGGGATAACGAAAATGAATAGATGTTGTTTCAGTGTGGCGATGATTTCCTTGACCCTCCAGAACTCCCATTGGTGGACTTCAAGTATTTTCAAGCAGGCCAAATAACACTTGGATACGTATGACTTATAAGGTCCTCTAAACAGGATACGAGGAGAGAAAAAATCCCCAGTCTAGGTTCCTTTACGCCCAATTTCATGGAACAAATGGTTAGAGTTAAGGCTAGCGCTAACGTTAGTTAGGGTTGGAAGGAAGATTAGAGCCACAGTTTGGGCTTATATTAGGGTTAGGACACGGAAATAGTCGCCCTCCCTGGAATTCGGTACAGAGCCATCTTTATTACCTGAGCGGCGCGTTTTAACTCCTGTGTTTGGAGGCCATTTTGAGTAATTTTTACCAAAACTTGTGCATCTTTTTTCAACAAAAGCCCTGTACATAAATAAGAGAACGGAGACCTACAAAATGCAGCGTACTAGCCCTTTTGGTGAAGCTTGATGTCCGTCCTTTTTACAATTATTTTTCAGAGCTTAATTGTCCACAGAACGCGAACGTGACCACGAAGACCCCCCAACTAGTGTCACTAGGTTTTGCAACTAAAACAAGCATTGAATGCATTTGCGAAATCGGAACCGCCGGGTTCAGTGTCTATCAGTATTTTTTCAATTCTAAAGGCTGCTTATTTTTGTTAAATTTTCAGTTCAAGCAGTTTCCGACTGGGATCCTCAAGATCTGGTCGGCGGAACGCGGCCGGTGGCAGGAGCGCAGCTGCGCAGAGGGAGAGGAAGCATCCGGTAGAAGTGAGTTCAAAGAGTTTACTGTAACTTCTTTTGCCATGCATTTACTTTCCTCCATGTATTGTCTGTTAAAACGTTCTCCAAACCTTGTGTGTATACCAGAAAATAAGAAGCTCTTGGCTAGAGAGGGAGCGAGAGGATTGCATTGTTCTCTTTGTCCATGGGAGTACTAATTCGTCTATAACCAATGAGAAATATCATATTTTATGAATCTTAAGGCCTGGAAGATTTCTAAGTACATCTAACATTTTTAAATTTCGAAGCTCACAAAAGGGTACAGGCGGCTTAGTTAGCGCCTCCAGGCAAGAAGTTTCGTTTGGCGCGCAAATATGACACATCCCACGGCGACACTATGTCAAACTGTCAAACTGAAGTGCCTCATATTTAGCTCTTGAAGATGAAAAACTGACCAAGTAAACTTTCCACTATGCCAGCAGGCTGATATATTTATCAGCTGGATTTGCAACTTAAATCTAAAACAAAGTTTCCCTGGTACGAATTGATATATTGCGAAAACTGCAAAATTTATTGGATCCATAACATTTCGGGAGCGCTCATCAGTTGCAGCTACCCCAATGCGTTAAAGAGTAACGAATGAGAAAAATACGAAATTGAATTGGTACAGAAAGGTCACAGGTCATAGTCACTAAGGCTAATTGGTAAAGTAAGAAGGTTAAAACAAGGTGGAAGGAGAAACAGAGGAAAATGATTTACGGGAAAAAGGGGGCAGAGGAGTGGGTAAATCTGGGAGCCGGTTGTTACCAAGGCAAGGCTAGGTTAACCACACGCTCCAACCGTTTA